TCATCATCATCATCATCATCAGCATCATCATCATCTCATCATAATCATCATGAACAGCATCATCATCATCATCATCATCATCATCATCATCATCATCATCATCATCATCATCATCATCGGGACACCATCATCATCGGGACACCATCATCATCAACAGCATCATAATAAACATCATCATCATTGGGACACCATGTTCATCACCACCATCACCATCATCATCATCATCATCATCATCATCATCATCATCATCATCGGGACACCACCTTCATCATCAACATCAGCATCATCATCATCATCGGGACACCATCATCAAAACCATCACCTCATCATCATCAACATCGTCATCATCATCGGGACACCATCATCGTCATCATCATCAACATCATCATCAGGATACCACCATCATCATCATCATCATCATCATCATCAATATCATCATCATCACCATCATCATCGGGACTCCATCATCATCATCATCATCATCATCATCATCATCATCATCATCATCTTCATCATCATCAGAATCATCATCATCATCTTATCATTACCAACATCATCAACATCATCAGGATCATCAACATCATCATCGGGACACCGTCATCATCATCAGCAACATCAGCATCATCAACATCATCATCATCATCATCATCATCATCATCATCATCATCATCGGGACACCATCATCATCACCACCATGCCCATCATCATCACCTTCATTATCATCATCAGCATCGTCAAAATCATCAACATCACCATCATCATCATCATCAGCATCATCATCGGGACACCATGTTCATCACCACCATCACCATCACCATCATCATCATCATCATCATCGACATCATCGATATCATCGACATCATCATCATCATCGGGACACCATCACCATCATCATCACCATCATCATCAACAGCATCATCATCAACCTCATCATCATCATCATCATCATCATCATCATCATCATCATCGGGATACCATCATCATCATCATCATCATATCATCATCATCAACATCATCGGGACACCATCATCGTCATCATCATCATCATCATCATCATCGGGAAACCATCATCATCATCAGCAGCAACATCACCATCATCAACATCATCATCATCATCATCATCGGGACACCATCATCATCACCACCATCACCATCATCATCATCAACATCGTCAACGTCATCATCATCATCGGGACACCGTCATCATCACCACCATCACCATCATCATCATCAACATCATCAACATCATCATCATCATCATCATCGTCATCATCATCAACAACATCATCATCACCATCATCATCATCATCAGAATCATCATCATCATCATCATCACCACCACCACCACCACCACATCATCATCATCATCATCATCATCATCATCATCATCATCATCATCATCATCATCATCATCATCATCATCATCATCATCATCATCATCATCATCATCATCATCATCATCATCATCATCATCATCATCATCATCATCATCATCATCATCATCATCATCATCATCATCATCGGGACACCAACGAAACACCGGCGGGACACCGCGCCCCACCGGTCCCCGGAAAGGAAACATTTGGTCCGGCCGCGCCTCAGCCGGAAGCGGGACACCAGCGGGACACCGCGCCCCCCGGCCCCCAGGAAGGAAAGATTTGGTCCGGCCGCGCCTCAGCCGGAGGAGACTTTCTTCTCGCCCGCCCACGCAGCTTCGCCTCACCCGCACGCACGGCATGCACGAACACGAAACCGAAACCGATTTCCCGGCAGGGGGGCTCTCCGTTCCACTTCGATCTCCCCCCCGCACCTCCGATACCTATACATATATATATATATATATATATATGTATATACAAGAATGAATTGGCGCTTCGCGCCATGCGCCTTGTTCCGGACGCTTCTCGGACAAGCAATAAGTCATCGCGTGTTTCAGCAGAGGGGGCGTCGAGACCACGAATGCGACCACGATCACGAGGACCACCACCACCAACAGCACTACCACCACCACAACCACCACCGCCACCACCACGACGACGACGACGACGACGCCGACGACGACAACGACGACGACGACGACGACGATGGGGCTCTCGTCTGAACTGCAGATGTGGCGCTCGTCTCTCGAGGGCCTCTGGAAGCTCCCGAGGGCACCAGAAGCGCCCAGAAACTTGGCCCTTCCTCGTCGTCGTCGTCCTCCTCCTCCTGCTCCTCCTGCTCCTCCTCTCGGGCAGGCCGCGGGAACGAGCGCTCGGGGCGTCAGTAAGCGGGCTACGCAATAATGAGGCGGCAGCCCGCGATGACAGGCCGAGACCTCCTGCTCCTCCGTAGGACGACGACGACGACGACGACGACGACGACGACGACGACGACGACGACGACGACGACGACGGCGGCGGCGGCGGCGACGACGATTGGTCGTTTCCTGAATGCCTGGAGGGGTCCTGGACGCTTGTGGGGCTTCTGAGGTCCTTTCGAACCACCGTTCTGCGAACTACGGCCTCGTGGAGTGTAAGAGAACTGCTGGAAGCTATATCGGAACAGTGTGGGCTCGCGTTTGAGCTCCTGGTGACTCTCCGGACCAGAGGACTCCTTTTGGGGCTGTTTTTGGCCGTTTTGGATCCCTCTTGGGCCGTCCGGGAACCCTTTTTTGGCCGTTTTGGGGGGCCGGGCCGGCCAGGAGCTTTTCGGGGTCCCTCTTCGGACACTCTTGGGGACCTCCTGTGGCTCTCTTGGAGCTCTCTTGGGAATTCTCGAGGCCCTCTGGGGCCCCTCTTGGGCCGCCTTGGGCTTCTCTTGATCCGTCTTGGAGCTCCTTTGGGCCGCCTTGGGTCGCCCATAGAGGCCTGGGAGGCCGTCCTGGGGCGATCTTGAGAGTCTCTGGGAATGCCGTGGGCGCTGCGAAAGCGGAAAAAGCTAATATCTTCAAAAGCGAACGTTTCCTCAGGTAATGGGACGATTTTTGGCTCTTGGGGGTCCCTTTTGGGGCCTCTTGGACCGTCTTGGGGGCCTCGTGGGCCGTCTTGAAACCATAGTGGGTCCTCTTTGAGCGCTGATGGGCCGTCTTGGGGCCCGTTTTGGGCCCGTGGGCTCCGATCGGCAGGGGCGTCCAACTGCCCAGAAGGCCGCTGGGACTCCGAAAGGGCGTCCAGGGCGCTCGTTGGGTGGAGGGCAGGGGCGTCTGGGGTGTGCTGGGGGGGGGTCCGGTTGAGGGGGGGGGGTCTGGGTAATAAGAATATGAGAATAGGAAGATGTAGACATAGACATGTGTAAATCTCTACATATATATATGTATATAGGAGAGAAAAAGAGAGGGAGAGAGAAAGAAAATAAAATAAATAAATAAATTAAAAAAAGAAAGCGGAAGGAGTTGCTGGCTGAGGCTCTGGGCATGGATGCTGGCGTCTAGGCCGTGACAGCGAGTGTCTTCTGACTCGGTCGCGCACCGCCCAGCTGGCTTGGCCAGAATGGCACCTCAATCTGAGCGCAGGAAGAGGGAAGGTGCAAGCTATCGTGAAATGCCCGCAGTGCAAAGCGGCCTCTCTGAAGATGCTCCCGGACAGGGACAGGGTTCGGGAACATCTGAAAGGCCTCACAGGCAATCTTGGCCTGCGAAAGGCTCTCGGCAAGGTGGCCACGGTAGTCTGGGCCTCGGCTACGTTGTCGCCTGGCGCGCCTCCACGCGGCGAGTATCGGGTTGGAGCCGTTGGAGTCGTCGGGCTCATCGGTCGTCGGCTCCGCGTCTTCTTCTTCCTCAGTCTCTGCATCCGTCTCTTCCTCGGTTTCCTCCGCAGCGAAGCGAACCGACTGGTCCTCGCCCTCCTCCACCACGCCGTCCACCTCGTGCGCGGTCCTCTCCTCTTCGTCCTTCGCGTGCGCGGTGCCCTCCGCCTCCTCCGCATCGCACTTCTCCGTGTGCACGCTGCCGATGGCGGCGGCGGGGATGAACGGAGGCGAAGGAAGCCGAGATCGTCGTCTGGATCACAGTGTACTCGATCTGGGAGCCCACCATCTGATGGCGGACGTAATTGAAGGGGCCCTGGGACACACAAAAAGATACACAAATAAAAATATTCCCCATATTTCCCCATATGTTCTGTGTTTTTGTCCTCCCCCCCACTTCCCATATTTCCCATATTTTCTGGGGAATCGACGAGTAATTGTGTCTGTGTTTTTTCCCTCCTGTGTAATGCTGCAGGCGGTGACCGTCCTTCGACAAGCCGGCCGATGAGCAGTCGAGGCTCCAAGAGCGAGGGGCCTCCCTTTGGCGGAGACCACCGCCGCAGGGCCGCCACGCGTTTCGGCAGCCCCCCACGACGGGCGCGGCAGCGCGGACACCGCGCTGCCACCATCAGAGCCAGCCCGCACGGCCGCTGCCATGGCTGCCGAGGCCGGGCGCCTCGCCTGGGCGTCGCCGCGTGCGGCGGGGCGGACACGCCCAAAATCGTTCGCCGGGCAGACGCCTTGAGCCAAAATGGCTACGGGCCCTCCTCCTCCTCCTCCTCCTCCTCCTCTTCCTCCTCCTCCTCCTCCTCCTCCTCCTCCTCCTCATCGGGGCCACCGTTTCATCCCGCATCATCTTGTGGTGGACCCCGGGCCCAGGCCCAGCGAGAGCCTCCAAAGGCCGAAAACGGTCAAGGCCAACAGCCGTGATTCTTCCGCGACGCGGCCTCGCCCTGGCGGGGGGGCGGGCCGGATCAGACAGCGTCGAATCGGGAGATCAGATCAGATCAGAATGCGCGTCGGATCGTGGTGCATCGGCATGGAGTCGGAATGGCACCAGATCCGCTGCGCCAGGCAGCGCAGCAGCGCCATGCAAGCATCGGGCCGCATCGGATCGCTGGAATCTCCGAGTCGAATCGGATCGGAACGGCCGAAGTCGACATAGAGTCAGATCGATCGCATCGAAACTGGCCCTGTGTGATGGAGGAAAGGGCGGGTGCGGAGATATCGAGTCGGATGGAACAGATCGAAATTGACCCTGGGGGGCGGGGGCTCGCTGTCAGGACGCCGTTGCTGTCCACCGGGAAGGAGACGGAGACCTGAGGCCGGGCGGGCGCGCGCGGGAAGGGCTCAGCGGCCCCCACGACCGCCCACAGCTTGTCAAGCTGTCTCCCCTCCCTCAGATCGAAGACGGCTCTTTTGCACAATCGGGCTATCGCTTCGTGCTTTTTGGACTTCATTCAGGACCCTGCATCTTTAGGATTCCCGACCAGTACAAGATGGAGGGCGGTTCTTCCTTAAAACTGATGTCCTGCCCGAAAGGCACGCCCACGAAACCCTTGCCTTTCGAGGGCACACATCCCGCAGTGGAACGGAATACCTGGAGGAACTTGTGAAAAAAGGACTTGAGGCCAGAGGGTATGCTACAGCATCGCTGATCCTCCTCATCATGCTACTGTTCTTACTCATCGAGCCTCATCCTCCTCCTCCTCCTCCTCCTCCTCCTCCTCCTCCTCCTCCTCCTCCGCCTCATCCGGCTCCCGAAATCCAGACCGGTCCCTTCGGGGGCGCTTCGCTTCGGGCTCGCGCAGATCTGCTTGCGTGGCGCTTCCCCCTTGCCCCTCCACCACATGTAGGGGTCCACATGCGAACCCTACCCCTGACCCCCACGATTTTCGAGGGGGGTAGGGGTAGGGTTCGCATGCGGCCCCCTAACATGTTCGAGCAGCGCTGGGCGAGAATGCGTGCAGACGAGTCGCGCCCTGCGCGAGGTCCAGAAGGCCACTCCACGTCCCAAGAGCGGCCCCCCGGGAGGCGGGGCGTTCGAGGAAGAGGGCCCAGCGCGGTCCTTCGAAGACCGCCAGGGAAGTCTGGCTCTCTGCGGGCTCGCAGATCGATCCCAGGACCAGCAGGGCCTGCTCCGTGACCTTAAGTCGGGCCTGTCCCCCTACAGGGGAACTTTCGACGATGAATGAAAAAAAACCCCAAACTAGCCAAAAAATAATCCAAAAATAGTCGGGGGACTATTTGCGGACTATTGTTTGGCCTTTCTGGGGCACTTTTGGGGTATTTTTCATTTTTCGCCGAAAATCCCCCTGTAGGGGGACACGCCCGACATGACCGTAACCACGGGGAGCCCCCCGCAAGCCCAACTAAATATCAGAAACGCCCGACCTCCTGACCCTGATCCTCGAAGATTGCGAAAAAACGATTCCTTCCGAGTCGCCAAATGTCTGGGGTTGAACGTCGTCTCGTCCATGATCGCATAATCAGCCTCGTGGGTGATAAAAAGAAGTGCGCCTGGCCCAGGGTGCACCCTGGATTTCCGAGGCCCCCACGGCCTCCAGAGCACCTCATCACGAGGCCCAGAGGGCCCCAGGGGCTCCAGAATGGAGCCTCTCTCTCCGTCCCTCGGGCCCACTCAGGCCAGGATCAATCGGCATCGAGCGGTAAATTCGGGCCGGATCGAAGCGAGCGTCGAGCACCGGGCCGCACCCCCACGGAGTGGAACTCGGTTCGGATCGGCTGCGCCAGGATGCACAACAGCGCCATGCAAGGATCGGGCCGCATGGGATCGCCCGAAGATCACAGATCGAAGCAGATCGGGCAGGGCGAGGCGGGCATCGCATGGGATCGATCGAAGCGAGATGGGCCCCGGGAGGGGAGCCATGGGTGGAGACATGAGCACGAGCCCAAAATCCTGGCGGTCCGCGCACTGGGACGCCCGAAGAGTGTGCAGAAAAAATGGGTACGAGACCCAATAGCAAGTGGCGTCCAGAAGAGACAGCGGCCGCTGCTGGGCAGGCGACCTTCTGTCCCAGATGGACAGAGCCCGCGGCGACGCCGACGGCGAATCCTGTCCAAAGTGGGCAAGAACTTCTGTTGGTCTTCGTACCCATTGTTTCCGTACCCGTTTCGGTTCCCCCGAGCGCGCAGGACATAAGAATCGGCGGCGAGCCCGGGGGGAAGTGAGAAGGGGCGGGCCTTCTCGCATGGCTCGAAAGTCCCCCAGCCTTCTGAGAAGTTGTCTACGCCCTCCCCGCATGTACAGAAAACCTCCCGAAGGCGCGAGGGCTTCTGAGAAGTCCCGCCGCCTTTTCCGAAGGCCTTTTCTTTCTCACTTCCCCCTCTCGCTCGCCGCCGAAAGGTCATGAGTCATGAGGTCACGGGAAACCCCAAACAAGGTCGGATGAGAGATGGCTTCGCTTCTGGGCGCGGTCTTAGTGACCTCCGGAGCGCTCCTGGCACACGTGCAGAGGGCCCAAAGAAGAGCCCAGCGGCCCAGGAGAGGCGCGGCTTCCCCCCTCCTCCGCCTCCTCCTCCTCCTCCGCCTCCTCCTCCGCCTTCTCCTCCGCCTCCTCCTCCCTTCCTCCTCCGCCTCCTCCTCCTCCTCCCCTCCTCCTCCTCCTCCTCCTCCTCCTCCTCCTCCTCCTCCTCCTCCTCCTCCTCCTCCTCCTCCTCCTCCTCCTCCTCCTCCTCCTCCTCTCCTCCTCCTCCTCCTCCTCCTCCTCCTCCTCCTCCTCCTCCTCCTCCTCCTCCTCCTCCTCCTCCTCCTCCTCCTCCTCCTCCTCCCTCCTCCTCCCCGTCCGCCTCCAACGCCCGCGCTGGCGCCGCCGCCGCGAGGCGGCACGCTGCGGGCCGGCGGGGGTGCGAGGCGAGCCCCCGCGCGGGGCAGCGCGCCGCGGCCGCGGCCCCGCGCCTCCCCCGGCCCGCCGAGGCCCCGCGGCCTCCCTGCACGGCGCGGGCCCGGCGGCTCGCCGCCGAGAGGATCGAAGCGGACCAGACCAGCCAGAGTGAGGCTCGGGCGAAAGGGGGGGATAGCAAAGGGGGGGGAGAATACAGGGCAGGTCTTAATACATTGGATTTTTTTGGTGTAAGAATCTTAATGCACGATTAACATATGAATAAATGAATGCATAAACTCATCCTTGCATGTATTAATCAACCCTATATTTTTCATACATGGTCCGCACGCGGAGCGTGTATTAAAACCGGCGCTGCAAGCTCACGTAGCTACTTTTCCCGGTGCCTCCTGGCGCCAGGAGGCGCCCATGCATCGAGGAATGGTCCCCTCGGTGGGGCTGAAGCCAGCTGCATGCAGCAGGTTTCGTGACCCCCCTTTCCCTATCCCCCCCCTTTCGTTCGGCCCGATAGGTCGGGCATGTCCTTTGAGAGGAGGATCTTGGAAGAAAAGGAAACATGATGAAAAAATACTCAGGATTAGTGAGAACATAATCGACAGATCGTCCCCGGACCGTTTTCTGACGATTCTAGGATATTCCTCCTGTAGAGGGGCATGCCCGACGTAAAGCCAGAATCGGTGTTCCCATCGTACTCAAGGACCACATCCCAGAAATAATTTCGAGCACCCAGGAAAGTGTCGAAACAATGTCTGCCCGACACTACTTTCCTGGTGCTCGACATTATTTCTGGCGTTCCGGCCTAAAGTAGGTCGGGACATCATAACCAGAATTAGGTCGGGCATGTCCTTCGAGAGGCGGATTCTGGAAGAAAGAAGCAAAACACAACGTGATCAAAAATACTCCAGAACAGTAACAACAAAAAAAAAGACTCGACAGATCGTCCCCCCTGGACTATTTTCTGACGACTCTTGAACCTGCCTCCTGTCGTTGAGCAGGGACCGACCGTCCTGGCATTCCTATAGTCCTACCACGAAACTTTCTTAGAGCCCAAAAATGTTCTAAGAACCAAAACAATGTTCTTAGAACAGATTCCCGATGTGTTAAAACAAGACGGACTCCGCCAGAAATGCTCTAAGAACATTCCGTGGGAACCACAAACAAAGGCTCTCAGAACATTGTTTGGTAGGGCTGTCGGCACGCCAGGACGCTTCGCCACTGCTTGCTGTCGAGGGACACGCCCGACTTCAGACCACAACCGATACCATATCGCACCGCTGCGGCCGGCGGGGGCCCTGCAGGCCAATGGGCGGCCCGCGCGCGGTCCCCCGCGGGCGGCGCGCCCGGAAGGTCTTCTCGGTGTCGACGCACCGGCCCTTGGGGCCGTAGTCCTCGCCCAGCGGGGCGGGGCGACGACGGCGACGACGGCGACGACGACGACGACGACGACCACGACGACGACGACGACGGCGACGACGACGGCGACGGCGACGGCGACGGCGACGACGACGACAATGACGGCGACGGCGACGACGGCGGCGGCGACGACGACGGCGAACGACAACGACCACGACGGTAAGCAACAACGGTAAGCGACGACGACGACCACCGCCACCACCGCCACAATTATCTCACCCTTCACCACAGTCCCAATCGAATCATCAGCAGAATCAGCATCAGCATCATTATCATCACCAGCATCATCATTATCCACCACCATGAGTGGACTGTCCCCTGGTCCCTTGCCCAACCCGTGAGCTTCAGTCAATACTAAGGTTTCTTTTTGTGGCCTGGACTCCTAATCATCAAATATCTTAGAGGGTCCCGCGTGCCCTGCGGGGTGCGCCGAGTGTTCACGCAACCGCATGACCTTTTGAGGAGCCACAACGGCCCCAAAACGGGCCACGAAACCCCAAAAACGCCGCCCAGACGGTCCAAGGGCGCCCCGAATCGCTACACGATCGGCCCAAGACGCTCTCAATGTGGTTTCAAGATGCCAAAACGTGGGTCCAAGATGGCCCAAGAAGCCTTCGAAACGCCCGACCTGAGCCCCAAGAGCCTTCCCAAGAGAGTCCAAGACATCAAAATCGGTGGCGTCCTTACGTTGTTTCGTCGCGGCCGACCCTGAACCTTAGGAAGCTTGTCCGTAGCCTCCACGATCGCCCCAAGACAAAACCCACGAGGCCTCCAAGACGGCCCAAGAGGCCCCCACATGACGGCTCCAAGAAGAGGCCCTGCCGGGGGATGCGAGCAAACGTGTCGAGCCCTCGGCTCCAAGAGCCCCCAGGAGGCCCCCACAGGAGGCCGCCAGGAGGCCCCAACAGGCCCTCGGAGAGGCCTCCATGGAGGCGCCTCTGAAGACCCCAAGGGGCACCCCAAGAGGCCCCAACGCTGCCCCACCCTGGGGGCCCACCAGAGCCCTCCGAAGAGACCCCAAGACGCATCCCTGCCAAGTCTGACCCACAGCCCAGGCACGGCAGCGGGATGAGCCGAATGGCCCTGGATGGTAGGAATCAGCACCATCGCCCTCATCATCATCACCACCACCGCCACCCGTATCATCACCATCATCATCGTCATCAACATCAGCACCACCGTTATCATCATCACCATCGTAATCACATCACCGCCAGTGCCAACATTACCCGCATCATCCACACCATCAGAATCACAAACACCATCGTCACAGCATTTTCACAATCAGCATCATCGTCATCCCCATCGTGCTCATCATCAGCATCATCACCGTGCTGACCATCACCACCGCCACCGCCATCATCGTCATCACCATGAGCATCAGCGCCATCCCCACCAGCACAATCACACGCCTTGCAACCATCATCACGAATACCGTCACCATTAGCATCAACGTCACCACCATGACCATCACAAACAAAAGCATCATCGTCCGCATCATCGCCGTCGTCGGCATAATCAAACCCGCATCACCATCGCCACCACCAGCATCATCATAACAATCAGCACCATCATCACTATTACCATCACGTGCCCGAGATGGGTAAATGCTACCTATCAAGAAAGGCCCGACGCGAAGACACAGGCAGTTGCTGAAGGAAGGCAGCGGCTGTATGCTAGCATCGGCGGAACCGTCCTGCAGGTGTACAAGGGTATTGCTCACCTCGAGGAGTGTTCTGAGGAGGTCAGCAACTTCCTCACGATGGAATTCTGTGATCAAGAGCTCAGTGGACGGCGAGACGCGACGGTTTCCCAGGCGAGGCAGGAGCTTGGAACGATACCGATGGACTGCCAGCGACTAGAGCAGTTCCTGGATGATGTTCATGGCAACGTTGAACAGGCACACAAAGCCCTCGGCAGGGAGACGGGTCGGCAGTGGGCCGACTGGTATACAGAGGCGTCGTCGAAAGGAGCTCGTGCGCTGGGTGAGGCTACAGAAGCGAAGGCGATTCCCACCCCCATGCCAATCACGGTCGGCAAGCCAGTGGCAGGCGATCCGGTGCCTGTCGGGAGGAAGGAGGTCGAGGTCTGCAAGAAGCTCTGGGCGGCGTCTGAGCGTGCGCCCCCAAGGCATGGGGCTTCCTGACAGAAAGCCTTGTCCTCGCATGTCGCCGCAAGAAATCAGAAATGCTGTTCGGACGCTTCCCAGAGGTACTGCATCCTCGGTTGATCATGTTCACCCCCGACATGCGCTGCTGTTGGAAGATGAGGGGCTCGAGGTGACGGCGATGATTTGGGAGGCGCCTGAAGCGATGGGCATGCTCCCCAAGCAGTCGCGCTGGATGTAGATGCCGATGCTCCCCAACGCTGCTGGTAGAAGTCGTCTGACAAATTTATATGCAGGCATGTACAGAATATGGCAGCGGGCTCGACGATGGACGGTCAGTGGCATCAGCGACGCTCTGGAGCGAAAGTTCTGGGGAGCAGGCAATGGCAGATCAGCTGTCGACTGTGCATGGCTTCAGGCTGCTCGAGCTGAAGCTGATCGTGCCGATGGTCTGTTCTCCTGGATGTGGGTAATTGACTGGTCCAGGTACTACGGGTCGATACCGCTGCGCGAGTTGAAATGGACATGCAGTCGAGTTGGCATCCCGACGTGCTGGCTCAAGCTCGCGACGACTACATGGCGTGGGCCTCGTGTCATTCGAAGTAGTCGTCATCACTCGCTGGAGGCGCTCTGCGCATCCAACAGCCTGCCGGCAGGAGGTGGCAATGCAGATCTGGCTATAAGTAGTCACGCAGTGATTCAATGGGATGGTTTTATTGAGTGCTGCCCATTGGTAGGTTTCCTGAGCTATATCGATGATAGCGCCATGGGACACAGCTCCTCGGATTTCACCATCGCGAAGTGCACGGCGGTTCAGGGGATGACAGAGTTCAAGAGGACGTCGCAGCAGCTCAACGCGGTGCTGAGCTTCGAGGAGGCGTCGCTTGTTGCATCCTCTGCTGCACTCGGTCATGCCATACGTGATATGCTGGAACTCCCTCGCTGTATATACGAGACTAGCGTCGCATATCTCGGAGTTGATGAGAATTCTGGCAACAAGAGGTCTGCGAAGGGGTCCCGTACTAAGCAAAAGAGTAGGCTCGAGGGCTCCAAGCGTAGGCGTCGTAAGGTTAGAGGTTTCAAGAAGGGCTTCTGGGGCAGCTCGAAGGAGGCCCCTTTGGTCAAGATTTGTTGCTCTGGAGTTTCGCCTGCGAGTTGTACCGGAGTTGAGGTGACTGGCTTGAGCCAGAGCGAATGGATGGCCCACCAACGGCTCCACAGCAGCGCGGTGTCCTCACAGCCGCAACGGCTCCGCATCTCGCGGAGGCGTCTGGCTGACTGCTAAACTAGCGTCAGTAGGTGATTTCAGTTTTAAATTAGCCGTCGCACCAGCACTGCAGTGGTGCCGCATGGCTTGGAACGCCACCACCCAGCCTGAGAAAGCGCTAGTCAGCCGTGGAGAGCTCCCCAGGCTTTGGCAGTCGGCCAGACCTGCTGAAGTGGGATCCTGGAGCTCCCCCCGAGGCCCGTTGAGACGTGCGGTCCGGTTGCTCTCGAGGGCGGGTTGGGAGGCTGTAGGACCCTTGCAGTGGAAGGACCACCGCGGTCTGACCAGCCAGGTAGATGAAACCCCGCCAGCCCTTCTGGCAGACCAGCTAGACTCAGGCATCCAGCGTGGTTATGAGCTAACCCTTGCTGGTAAGTTGGGTCAACTCCAGGTCACAGGGCTGCTCTAGATCTTGTTAGATCTAGGTTGGGGCCAAAGGCCAGAAGGCTGAACCAAAAGTCAAAGGTTTTGATAAGAAGCTGTGGACGCAATGGAATGTGGACCGCTGAGAGAGGGCGGTTGACGGGGTACGCGACGGATGGGAGCTGTGTGTGGACAGGTCGACACGCCCCACCACAGGCTCTATAGTTGTAGTAGGCCTGAAGTTCTCCAAGCTCGCGAAGAGTAAGCTGTCCCTTAGAGTTTCTGGAAGCGGCTCTAGCGGAGCCCGATGTTGAAATGATTGCAAGAGGGATGTTTGTGTACCCCGATGCTGAGTTGCCAAAACCGTCCACTTCAGCAGAGGTGGAGTTGTTTGGAGTTTCAGGTGAGCCGTTCGACAAAGATCCTGAGCAGCTAGCTGAGCTTTCAAGCAAGAGTGTTTTGAGAATGGTCTCGGACGGGTCATGCACCAAACCGTCGATACGTGCGCTCCAGCGAGCGGCATGGTCGATAGGCATTATGCCTGGAAGTGGGCCCGACCCCGAGCCACTAGCGATAGTTCGTGGGGTCGTCCACGGCTCTTTTCCTCAGACGCCTGCTATGTCAGAGCACGTTGCAGTGGCACTCAGCGGCCAAATTGCATGGCGCCCTGCCGTGCTAGGTGTGGACCGTTTGTCGGCTATCAAGATAGCCCAGCGTAGTGTTGGAATAACAATTGCTCGCCAGCAGTAAATTCGCTAGGGTCCGAAAGTTTGCTCATTGGAAGGCACATCATTCCTCACTGAGACTCATCATGTAAAGGCTGACAGGTCGCAAGAAGAGATAGATTCGTTGTCTCAGAATGAACGCGAATTCACGGTGGCAAAAAGAGTTGTGGAACACCATGCCAAGATTGCGTCTCGAGGCCACCCTGCAGCTGACCCCCAGTTCCTTGGAAAGATACACTTAGCTGAAAGGCGTGCTGGTCATTTCTGTGCTCTTGCTGCTGCCGTGCTGCCGCTTTGGGAGGTCGCCTCGCGTTGGGCGAGGAACACCGTTCGCCGCAGGAAGCTAGATCGTGTTCAACAGGACTGGCACCAATGGCATGCAGGCACCGCTGGTTTGCAATGCAAGAAGCGCTTGGAGCTGGAGGGATGATAAGGATGCTCTCCCTCTCAACGGCTGTGTAGGAGTTCCATCCTGCATTAAGGCGCTTCTCAGGGATCCCAAAGGGCATCTTGTCCTCATGGCTGGGTTGTCGGCTCGAGTGGCGTCGAGTTCCTGTGAGCACAATCCTGAGCAGCGATGCTGGATTTGTTTGAAGTGCGGAGACTGGTTCCAGGGTAGAGCAGTTAAATTAGCGAGACCCTGTTGAAAGTCTGGTGAACACCCCACTAAGAAGGGTCAGGAGAATATAAACTGCTACTTCCAGGGTAAGCCGCCAAACCGAAATGACCGCGCTCTCCTCGGTCGTAGCTGTGTCCTCCCTCGTACCCCCACGGTTGAGATGCTGGCCCCCATCGGAGTCTTCGGCGGTCCTTGACTCTACGGTGGTTCCCAGATGTTTCTAGGCCTCGGGGGCTCCCTCTCACGAGCAGCGAATGGGTGCTCTGATTGAGAGAACTCGGAACAAGGGAGCCTCAGCTCAAGGCAAGTAACTAATGCCTACTCGTTCAGTTTGGGTGCCGTGCACCGTCCCTTCTGGCCCATCGATTCCATTCCATTCCATTCCACTCCATTCCTCCACCTCCTCCTCCTCTTCCCTCTCCTCATCCTCCTCCTCCTCCTCCTCCTCCCTCCCTCCCTCCCTCCCTCCCTCCCTCCCTCCTCCTCCTCCTCCTCCTCCCTCCTCCTCCAGTCCCCCGCAGCGACTCCGCGGCAGCGGTCAGGCCGGAGACCCCCCTGGGGCCCGCGGGAGCGCGCGCGCTCCTTCTCGGCCCAGTCGCGCGGTCCGCTCCAGCCTCGGCCGGGGGCAGGGGGGCCACCGGGAGCGGGCCGCGGGCGACCGCTGGAGGCGAGGAGGCAGCCCCCGGGCAGTCCTCGCCAGGAGCCGTTTTTCAGCCGTTCGCCGCCAGCCCTCCCCGACCCCACCCCCCGGTCAAGCCACGACTCGCGCCGGCGCCGTCTGGGAATCAGCCCGAGGAGGAGGAGGAGGAGGAGGAGGAGGAGGAGGAGCACCCCTCCCCCCGTCGCGTCACGACTCGCGCCGGCGCCGTCTGGGAAGCAGCCCCGTCCCGAGCATTCCCAGACGGCGCCCGCGCGAAGCATGGCGTGACTGGCCCTGTGGCCACCTCCGCCCCCCAGTCACGCCCCTGATCGCTGGGGCTTAACGTACAAAAAATGCATCCAGGGGCGGGCTGCGGGCGGCCGCCAGAGGTTAAGAGGCAATGGCCCCACCAATCGGGCGTCGTGGCCCTTACCAAAGCCCCCGACGTCATGATTTGTCCATGACCTGGACTTCACAGAAGTCACGACCCCTTCCCCGCGACCAGCTTCGCATACCGAGCTGTTTTCTGGCGGCTCCAGGGCCTGGCCAGAGGCCGAAAATGGCCCAAAACCGCCCGCCGTGTTTTTCTCACGACGCGAGGTCGTCTGCGCATTCTGGACTTCACAATAAAAGGGGGGTGGTCTGGTTTGGGAGGGGGTCTGATTTGAGCTGTCTTAGAGGGTTCCAGTGGGATCAGGGGAAAAGGTTGCCCTGTCATGGCTGATTCCCACCAAGGATGCACAAGCGTCGACACTAATTTGAACCTCCCAGGGTGGTCGTAGCGCGTTTTGCAATAACGCTCGGCTGTTTGAGATGCCAGGTAGGTCGGGCCCCAGAAGACCACGATGCATGTGCACTCGGTGGCGAGCTGCTGGGGCGCCACTTGGGGCTGTTAGTCCTTTCTGACTATCCCCCTGCAGGGCCCAGCGTCTCCGACCACCAAGCTTCGATCCTCCTTGGGGATGTAGGTGAGGGCGTAGTGTGGGTCGCCGTGTTCTGGCATCCTGTGATGCGTGTCCTCAACGGTAGTGGACTCGGGTCCTGAAATCGTCCCAGCGCACTCTCGTGTCGTAGAGGATTGCCGATCTCTCTATGGCCCTGATGTTCTTGGCAATTAGGGTGATGATGCGTGGATGACGATACTGATGTTGTTGGCCATCGCGAACTTACGTGTGGTAGCCCATTCGACTCCGCCACCTCCTCCTCTTCCTCCTCCTCCTCCTCTTCGTCGTCGTCATCGTCATCGTCATCAACCTCATCTTATTATTATCACCATCCATATTAGCATCCTGATCATCTTCCTCCTCTCAGCTCCTTCACTTCTGGTCTTCCTCCCTATCCTCATCACATCATAATCAACATCAACAACGGCAGTGCCATCTATCGTCACCATCCTCATCATAAGCATAATCAGCATCAGCAGCAGCAGCAGCAGCAGCATCCTCATCATCAGCATCAGCATCAGCATCAACATCAACAATCGCCATCATCATCATCACCATCAGCAGCAGCATGATGAAAACAACAACATCATCACCCCCGCCGCCAACCTCATGGTCAAAATCATCGTGAACATCACCATCACCATCACCATCATCTTCATGGTCACAAGCATCATCAGCATCGACCTCATCCGCATCATCAGCAGCAGCAGAATCAACACCACCACCACCACCATCACCACCATCATCATCATCATCATCATCATCATCATCATCATCACCAGCATCATCATCATCATCATCATCATCATCAGCATCATCATCATCATCATCATCATCATCCTCATCATCATCATCGTCGTCGTCGTCGTCGTCACCATCACGAGAATCAATCATAACATTAGCATGATCATTATCACCAGCATCATCATCACCACCACCATCATCAGCAACGTCATCATCATCAGCATCAGCAACAGCAACATCAATAACATCATCGTCAGCAACAGCAGCATCATCATCATCATCCGTATCAACAACATCAACATCATCACCATCAGCAGCATCAGCATCAGCATCATCATCCTCATCAGCATCCTCATCCTTATCGTCATCCGCATCCTCCTCCTCATCATCACTATCTTCATGATCATCATCACCGTCGTCGTCATCATCAACAACATCAGCTGCCTCATCATCATCAGCAACAGCAGCAACGTCAACATCATCAGCATCATCAGCATCATCATCATCATCACCATCGCCATCACCATCATCATCAACGTCATCAGCATCATCGGCATCATCATCACCATCAGCAGCATCAGCATCAGCATCATCATCCTCATCAGCATCCTCATCCTTCTCATCATCCGCATCATCCTCATCATCATCACTATCTTTATGAACATCATCACCGTCGTCATCAGCAACAACATCAGCATCATCATCATCATCAGCAGCAGCAACATCAACACCATCAGCATCATCAACATCATCATCATCATCACCATCACCATCAGCATCACCATCATCAGCATCATCATCATGCTCCTCCTCGTCATCGTCGTCGTCCCCCTTCCTCCCTCCTTCCCTCCCCTCCCCTCCCATGCCCTCGCCTTCCTCCCTCCCTCCCCTCCTGCTTCACTCGGCCCTCCTACTCGCCTTTTCTCCTCCACTTCCTCCTCGCCCCCCCCCTTCCCATTCCTCCTCCCGCATCCTCCCTCCACCTCCTCCCTCCTCGTCCATCTCCTCCTCCTCCTCAACCTCGTCATTCGGCGGCGCTGCGGCACGCCTGGCCCGCCGCCGCCATAGCCCACTGCGGCACCATCGCGATCCTGCCGGGCGAACTGATTCCCTACAGACATATACATATATATATATATATATATATATATACACACATGTGCATATGTATACATATAGATGGACATATAATTACTGGAACCATCGCGCGCGCGCTTCGCGCGCGCTCAGGTTCTAGCCCAGGCTGGGGGGGCTGGAAGATCTTGGGCAGCCCTATAAAACGCAGGCGCGTGACATAATCGTACCCATCATGACCCACCTCCTGATTTCAGACCTAACGTTTATACTCCCATCATCATACTCCTCATGATCATAAAAGCCATCATGATCAGACTCACTGTCAACATCATCAACAATACACAATACCATAGAGAACAAACTTGGCCCAGAGCTGCGAGCCATGAGAGTACGTCAAGCTAGCGTATCATCATGGTCGCCATCATCATCCTCGTCCTCGTCCGTCTCATCATCGACATCATCGGTCCCCGAGCCTTTCTGCGGTCAGAAACTTTTGCTTAGAGTGTCGCGGCGGTGACCCCTGCGACGCGCCATGCCCTGCAAGCGGATAGAGTGTCACTCCGCTTCGCTGGGCTGGAAAACTGGAAAATTCTCGGGGCGCAATGAAGAGCACTATCCGGACGATGCGCCCCTGAATTTCGTAACGAATGTGTTACTTCCTGGCGGTTTCTGGGGAACCTTGCAAGGGCATGTAGAGGGCGCCTTGGGGGTCTCTTTGAGCCGCTCGGGGGCCCTCGTGGGGCCTCTTGGAGCCTCTTGGGGACCTCTTCGGAGCGTCTCCGGGACTCTATGAGCTTTCTCGCGGGGCTCCTGGAGCCTGCTGAGCCAGATACGTAATGGCGGACCATCCCCTGCGGCAGCAGGAGGAAAAGGAGGAGAAGCAGCAGGGGAGGAGGAGGAGGAGGAGGAGGAGGAGGAGGGCGAGGAGGGGGCGCAAGAGGAGGCATAGGGGCGTCCATCTTCGAGTCGAGTGGCTTGTGGCGGTCTCTGGAGAGCCTCCGAGCCCGCTGCTCCATCCCTCTTCCTATTGGGGGTGGGGTGGGCGAAGCAAGAATGCAAACTTGCAATATTCATTTGTTCGTCCGTTGACGCACCCGTCAAGGGAAGTTCGGCGCTGCGAGACTCAAGTGTGAACTGAGTCCTTCGGGCCACGAGTCTTCCCCCTCCTCCACGATATTCGGTGGGAGAGACAATCATGCAAGCATATTGATTTGTCCGCCCTTCGTCTCACTATCCTATGCCTCCCCCGCGGGAGTTCGGGGCAAGGGGCAAGGCGAACAATTAGCCTTGCAACTATGTAGATATTATACGTAGTATTCTATCCCTCCTCCTTGTGGTTCGGGTTCTGGGGGTCGCGGCAAGAATGCAACCTTCAAATCTTGACGCGCCCAAGATTCGATCAATCAACTACCACCGACCTCCAGGTTGCGATAGCGCGCGACGGAGTCACAACTTCTCGTGTCCGAATCGGCGGGGCTCGGGCGTTTCGCCTGCGACATCCTCGTAATTCTGAGCTCCGAGATACCGCGCACTAGGTGATCTGGCTCGTTTCGCCTATGACATCCTCGCAACTCTGGGTGCGCGAGGTGGATGCCGCGCGCGAGGTGGTCTGGCGCGTCACCTGAAAAATTCATTGCAACTGTGAGCTCCGAGATGTCGCGCAAGACGTGGTTTGGCGCGTTTCGCCTGAGGCTATCTCGCTATTCTGAGCTCCGAGATGCCGCGCGCGAGGTGATCTGGCCCTTTTCACCTGAGACATCCTCGCAACTGTGGGCTCCGAGATGCCGCGCGCGAGGTGGTTGGTCTGACCCGTTTCGCCTGAAACATCCTCGCAACTCTGGAATTCGAGATGCCGCGCGCGAGATGCTCCAGCCCGTTTGTCCGTCGAGTTTCGCCTGAGACATCCTCGCACTTCTGAGCTCAAAAATGCCGCGCACAAGTCCCATCTCGCATGAGACGACCTCACACTTCTAGGCTCAGAAATTACGATCAATTAAGAGACTGGCCGGTTTGGCTTTAGACATTCCTCGCAATTCGGTTCCGAGATGCCGCGCGCGAGGTGGTCTGGTCCGTTTCGCCTGAAACATCCTCGCAATTCTGGGTTCCAAGATACCGCGGGCGAGATGGTCTGGCCCGTTTCGATTTCGGCCCGCGCGTATGGTGCGTCCGGCACCTCCTCGTCCTCCTCCCTCCTCAAGAAAGAAGGGATGATGATGATGCTGATGATGATGATGCTCATGATGCTGATGATGATGCTGATAATGATGGTAATGATGATGATGATGATGATGATGATGATGATGTTGATGGTAGTGGTGATGATGATGATAATGATGGTAATGATGATGATGATGAAGAAGAAGAACAAGATGATGATGATGATGATGATGATGATGGTGGCGATGGTGATGGTGATGGCGATGGTGATGGTGATGGTGATGGTGATGATGGTGGTGGTGATGATGATGATGGTGATGGTGATGGTGATGGTGATGGTGATGGTGATGGTGATGGTGATGGTGATGATGGTGATGGTGATGGTGATGGTGATGGTGATGGTGGTGATGGTGATGGTGATGGTGATGGTGATGGTGATGGTGATGGTGATGGTGATGGTGATGGTGATGGTGATGGTGATGGTGATGATGGTGGTGATGACGGTGGTGATGATGATGACGATGGTGGCGATGATGACGATGGAGGCGGTGGAAATGATGATAGTAGTTGTAATGATGACGATGGCCAGGCTCGATGTTACTCGGGTTGAAGCCTGGCTCAAATTTGCTGCGACAGCACGATGACTCTGCTCACACACGGCCTGACAGCAGACAGATGAAGCCTACCAGAGTCATCGATATCATCGAAGTCTGGCTCATACATGCTGCGACAACGCGGTGACTCTGTTCGCACACGCCGTCGCAGCAACCGGATGAAGCTTGCCAGGTTTATCTATACCCTTGAAGCCTCGACAACGCGGTTACTCTGCTCACACACGCCGTGGCACCAGGGTGTCGGCTCAGGAAAGGGTCGAAGGGCTAAAAATGTGGCATTGCACCGCAACAAAAAAACTTGCCGCTCGACGAACGAGGCCGAGCAGCCGCTTTCTTCTGCTCCTCTCCCATCCTGGACCCACCCACCGACCGCCGTTCGAACAACCCTGAATATACTCGTGACCGCGCACGTGTGCACACGCACAAACAATCCAGCGATCCCGATTGATGTGTAGATATGAAAGCACATACAAACATATATATAGACCAGAACCATCGCAGTTTTTCCGGAATCCCAGCTCGCAGTGAGATGCCGAGGGCTGGGCGACGGTTGCGGATATGACTTTAGCCCGAATGAGCTGCGGAGACACGTAGTGAAGAGCCCTTCTCTGAGCAAGGGAAGGGGGGGGGGCGGGGGGGCGGTTTGGAGGTCGAGAAAAGGGGAGAAGAGTCCAGGAGCATGACGTCGGCGAAGACGAGGGCAGAATGGGAAGGAGAGCACAGGAGAGGGGCGAAGGACGAGAGGACGAGGTACGAGTGGACTAGGGACAGTGGGAGAAGGTATAGCCCAAATTTCGCCCAATGCGGTTTTCGCCGGGTCGGTTTCGCCAGGTTGTTTTCGCCCAACATCGGTTTCGCCCTGGACAGTTTCGCCCAGGACAATTTCGCCCGGTGTCGGTTACGCCCGCTCGGTTTCGCCTGATCGGTTTCGCCTGGTCGGTTTCGACTGGTGGTTTTCGCCTGGTCGGTTTCGCCTGGTCGGTTTCGCCCAAATTTTGTTCGTTCGGTGTTCCTCGCTCGGTGCTCTGCGCTCAATGCTCTTCGCTCAATGGTTTTCGCCCAGCCAAGAGGTGCAAAAAGCACCCCAACAGGTGTCGAAGGTGCAGGGGCTCTCCAGAAATTGCAAAATCGCGCATACATATAATGAACTTGGGTTGGTTTGACGATTAAGTGTTTTCCCCATCTCTCGGCTCAAGATGGCTCCAAGAGAACTTCAAAGGAGCAAAATAGAGCCAACAGTAGCCCCATGAGGCCCCCAGTAGGTCCCCAAGACGACTCACGAGGGCATCAGGAGGCTCTCAAAACAACACCCAGGCTCTCTCCACACGGCCAATAGGGTCCCAAGACGGAGCGAGGAGGCCCCGAGCCGGCCCAAGAGAGCGGCCCAAGAGAGCCCCAAGACGACCCAAAACCCAAGAGCGTCCTAAGGGCGTCGAAGACAGACCAGGTACACCCCATGATAGCCTAGCAAAGCGTCCAGAGATGAGAGACGAGGGGTGGCACGTGATACAGTCGGACACAGGCTAGAAGAACATCCCTCGAGAACATTAGACCTCTGTCGGCCAAAACAAGCAGAGCATCCAATGGTACAATCCCCAGACGCACAAGAACATCCAACAAACACGAAGAACATTAGGGCACCATCCCCGAACCGACCTCGATCTTATACCTCGGTCCCTCTGTACTACCTTCTGGGCGGTGCTCGAAAAGTCGCCACACGGATTGCGGTGCTGGCATGGTGCCCGACACTCGCAACAGGTAGCTGAATATACGCATGTTCACGCACATGCAAGCGTTCATTATGTGTGTCCTTGCCTACTCAAATGCGAAAAGGAAGACATAGAGGTGCACACCATTAAACTGGAACACGCGCGCGCTTTGTTTCCAGTCCGTCAAGAGGGGGGGATCGAGTGCAAGTCCATAGTGAAAATATTCCCTGTGTAGCGTCTGTGGTTCGCATGTTCTCCCGCCGACTACCCCGTCAGCCCGCTACTCGCTTCAGACTGTTCATGATCAGCATCAGAACCACCACCACAATCAAAATCATAACAAGAACAGTTCGTAATGCATGTGTTACACATCATAGTGCGAACCATAATACTAATTATCATCATACATTAACTATAAAAACACTCATGATCATCATCATCATGAGCAGCAGCAGCAGCATCATCAGCATCAGTATCAGCAGCATCATGATCGTCGTCATCATAGTCAGCACCATCACCATCACCAGCATCACCAACATCTCATCACCAGCGCCATCAGCATCAGCATCATCATCGTCGTCGACATCATCATCATCATCATCATCAGCATCATCATCATCATCATCAGCATCAGCATCATCTTCATCGTCATCATCAGAGTCATCATTATCAGAAGCAGCAGCATCTTCATCCGCATAACCATACATCCTCATCATCCATATCACCAGCGTACTAATCAGCATCACCAGCATCAGCAACAGCACCAGCACCAGCATCATCATCGTCAGCATATCAGCATCATCAACATCATCATCACCACCACCGTCACGGTCACCATTATCATATCAGATTCGTTGTTGTCTTAACCATCATCGTTATCAACATCATCCTCATCCTCATCATCATCGGCATCATCGTCTTCATCCTGATCATCATCCTCATCCACATCCTCATCATCAGCATCCTCACAATCACCATCACCAGCATCATCATCATAATCATCATCATCATCATCATCATCATCATCATCATCATCATCATCATCACCATCGCCATCAACAGCATCGTCATCGTCAGCATGATCATCAGCATCAGTATCAGCATCAGCAGAATCAGCATGTTCATCATCATCAGCATCATCATCAACCACATCGTCAGCATAATCATCAGCATCAACACCATCAGCATCATCAGCATCACCCTCACCATCACCATCACCTTCATCAGCATCGTCTTCGTCATCATAATCCTGAAGATGATCACCACCACCACCATCAATCATCTACTACCATGAGAAGCAGCGACTTCACCACCATCATAATGTTCCGCGTCCTCATTATCGTCTTCTGATTCATCCTCACAGTCCTCTCGTAGTATTCTCCTCCTGCTCGTTCATGTCCTCCTCCAAACCCCGAATATCGTCATCCATGTCATGTTCCTGCTCATCCTCTTCGTCATCCTGAGGTATAATCAGGCACCTCTCTTCAGCATAGGTTTATTCCTCATAGTCTTGATTCCTATTACTGTTTCTCATGGCTCTATGCTGCCCCCTCATCAAAGACCGCGTCGTCATCATCCTCATGCTCATCCTCGTCATCATACTTTTTGATTGCGCAAGGCACGTTCCCAGAGACGGGCCGTGGAGCGCAATGAGCAGAGTCGAAGACATGTGTGGGGCGTAGGTGCCTCCTTCCATTCTCCACCCCTCTCTCCTCCCTCCTCCCCTCTCAACTCCCTCCTCCTCTCCGACATTACCCCTCGTACGTGTCATGCCTGCTCCTCCTTTACCATCCTCCTCATACACCATCCACCATCCTCCTCCTCCACCACCTCCTACTCCTCCTCCTCCTCCTCCTCCTCCTCCACCTCCTCCTCTTCCTCCTCCTCCTCGTCCTCCTCCTCCTCATCCTCCTCCTCCTCCCCCATCCTCCTCCTCCTCCTCCTCCTCCTCCTCCTCCTCCTCCTCCTCCTCCTCCTCCTCCTCCTCCTCCTCCTCCTCCTCCTCCTCCTCCCACTCCTCCCCGCTCCCCCCCCCTGGGCAGCTCCGTGGCGGTGTGCAGGGTCGAGTGCCAGGCATGCTGGTTCGCCTACCAAGGGGCGGGGCGGGCGCCACGGCAGGCGCGCGCAGCGTGCCGGAGAAGCGGGGCGAGAGGCGATCGAGCGATCGAGGAGGAGGGCGGAGGCAGCCGCGCGGCCGAGGGCGATCGAGCGAGGAGGGGAGGGCGACCGAGCGATCGAACAATCGGGCGAGGCTGGCCGTTCGGGGGGGAGGGCTATCGAGCGAGTGGCGCCGTCTGCTGGGCACGCGGGCGTGCCCGTGCCCATCTTGTGGGCAGGGAGGGCGCTGCCGCCGCCGCCGCCGCCCTCGTCGCCGTCGACGTCGTCCTCGTCGCCGTCGTCGGCGTCGTCAGCGCCGTCGCCGTCGCCGTCGTCGATGTCGTCGACGACGTCGGCAGCGCCATCGCCGTCGTCGTCGTCGTTGCCTCGAGCGAGGGAGGAGGGGGGGAGGGAGGGACGAGGGGGCACGAAGAAGGACAGGGGGCGAGATGAGGAGGGGAGGGGGGGGACGAGGGGGTACGAAGGAGGCCGGGGGCGCGGAAGGAGGCGGGCGGGTCGTTTGTTGGGGCCTCCGACAGGGGTCGTCAGGGACGGCGGCAGGGTGCCAGGGAGATGGGCAGGGGCCCAAAGACTTGAGAGGACAGAGGGGGGGGGACTGCGCTTTTCGTTGATGTCGAACGGCACTTTAAAAACACTCTGTGTTTTATTGAATTCGACCTCAAAAAGAGCCGCTGGCCCAAACGGGACAAACGCGCGCGAATGTACAAATTCGCGCGCGCGCGCGTGGCGGCCCCTAGCAAGGTTCGCCTGCGAACCTAGGGGGGAAGTTAGAAGGATCGGGCCTTCTCAGAAGGCTCGAAGTCTCCCAGCCTTCTGAAATGTTTTCTAAGCCTTCCCCAGAGACACAGAAAACTTCTCAGAAGGCGCGAGGACTTCTGAGAAGTCCCGCCGCCTTCTGAGAAGGCCTTCTCCTTCTC